CTGTCATCCGAGGTCCTACTGAGGACACAGAGCAGGTCTGCCAGGCAGTAGGTATAGAGCTGGAGAGGATCTTGCCTCTCCTCCCTATGGAGGCAGAAGACCTTGTCTCGGAAGAGACGAGATAGTGACAGAAGCTCATGAGCGGTAATTTAGGGTTGCATAGAAGCTACCAAGCCACTACGCACGATGTCCAGTGACTCCGTGGAAGTGCATATAAGCAGTTACAGAAAAGTGGCTCGTGTATAGGAGCTGTTTTGCCCTCAGTTCACCTATTCATGCCATAATGCTGCAAGACTGATTTCACTTGTGTGGTTTTCCACAACTTCAGCAAAAGTGCTGCTTGACAGGCAGTCCAAGGGGCCATGATGCTCCTTCTGAGGCTGTTTCTGTTACATCAGGAAAAGGACTAAATAAGTGAATCTGCTCAGAGAGCTCACTGAAAACAGTGATTTCAAGGTCCGTTACAGCTCTGAGAACTCATATAAAACTTGCAGCTTCTTACTCACAGATAAACTCACAGCCATATTTAAGATTGCTCTCGGTAACACCACTTGCAGAACTAAAATCAGGTGAACTTGAGCCCGCTATTGGCAATTTCGCTCTTGGCTGTATCTCAAAAGCAAGGTGCATAGGCACAGGCTGTAAAGTTATGTGTCTATACATTTAAAGCACCAGGCAGAGGCAAATCACACCAAACTTATCTGAAGACATATTTGTTAAAGGGATACTCACCACAGAAGTACATTTTTAGGAGACCTAAGCTCTCCACCTTCTACTACTAACAGATTTCCTGTTACATAATATCACACTACATATTAATGCCATTAGTTTATTTTTTTATCTTTTCATATAGCTGAAGAAGAAAAATCTATTATCAGTTCCATTACTGTTTACAGCCTGTAAGTTTATAAGAAAACAAAAACCCAACAGATAGATAATTAAATCTAAACCAAACTATTACTGATTTTAGAACTTTGCCAAATTGAAATGCTGTTGTGAACAACTTATTTAATTTAGAGAAAAAAAAAAAAAGTATAAACACCAGTTTGGGGATAAAAGAAGCTGGAAGTGTCCTTCATTATGGAATATTAAATTATAGTGCCACCCCAGCTCCACACACAATTGCTGCTTAAATATTTCATACAAAGATCGTCATTGTTTAAACTAGAACATGGGCTCCTTACTAATCTCTGACTGAATTCAATCTCTACCAGAACAATGGGTTGCAACCTGTTAGCCTGCTAATAGACAATTAGCAATATTAAAATAATCTTAAATAAGGTTATTGGACACTAAATTGGTAATTAAGTAGCTCCTGAGTAAATGCTACATTGATATTCGTAAATTGAGGAAAAAAATTCATTCTGAGCTGCCAAGTAGAGATTGAATATGCAGGGCTGAGTAAATAGACAAACATAATTAAAAGTGTCATTAAACACATTATCTACATTAATTTATCTATATCAATATTAGGTACAGTAGCTGGTATCAAAATACCTACGTTCGCCCTGTTCCCCATGTAGGTGGCTTGTGCAGGTTGTTTTCCCTTATTGCTTGCATCATTGTGCAAATATCAAAGAGAAAGTGAAGCTGGCAAGAACACAGAGGTCTTGGAAAGACAGCCTTTCCCAGGCAGCTTCTACAGGTGAGCAAAAAAGTTAGAGTGGGGAACAATGAAAGGACTGAAAGGAAAAATGATAAACTTGAAACAATTCACTCCTGGTCAGCTGAAGAGAGCAAGTTTTCTCATGCTCACTTTCTCTGACCCAGGAGCAGAGGAGAGGGAGGGGAGGGAGAGGGGATCTTCACCTGTGAGTCATCTAATTACATAAAATTAATTGCATAAATTTCCAAAGGCAATGTGTTAATATAAAAGTCCAAAATTGATACGACTTCAGTTTGCAAAGCATCTACTGGGGAAAGGGAGGAGGAGACTAACACCTAAGCACGTGCCTATCACAGTGGCCATTCTTGACCATTTTTTCTTTGTAGTTGAGCACACTGCAGGATGCTAAATAATTAAAATAATATTCTTGTATCCCAGATGCCAACAAATGACAATACAAGATTAATTCTTCAGACTTCTGGATGCTGTGCATGCATTATCCAACATACAATTTCCAAACCAATTAAACAAACCGCAAAGGAGATCACGTCACTAAGCAGACCAAACTGAAGGACCACACCTGTCTAGCAGAGCAACGACTTACCCAGTCTGGGCATAACTGCCCCCAGGAACTGCTCATCCTCCTGAAAATGGTTTTCTTGTAGAGATTCGAGCAGTTTCTGTAAGACATCTTGCGGCACTTTGCAGCCTGTGCCTTTCAGTTCAGTGAATCGGGTCAGACGGAAGCTCTTGTCCAGTTCGTAACTTTCTGGGTTAAACGACTCCCGAACAGACATGGTTCTCTCGCACAGACTGCTGGCCTTTCCCACCCCAGAGCAATGGTATCAGTTTCTCTGCTGATCAGTCTAATTTAAAGAAAAAAAAATTTTAAATTGGGAACATTAGAAATTCCTAGGACCTGAAAGACAACAGGCTTTTCCACGTGGAACAAAGTAAAAAGAAAGAGAAAGCACCCAAACACGTTTACTTGTTAAGACAGGTGGACACATCTTACACAACTCATTTCTCTAAGACTACAAAGGAATGATTCCTCTTCCTACCTTCCAACATTTAAAACTGTAACTATGCCAGGCGAATCTAGAGACTGAATTTCTTTTCCAGATATGCTGCGTAAGTTTTTCATTACAAAAAGAATCTAGCGCACTTACCGACCTCATTTAACACAGAGGTAATGAAAGAAGTAATAGTTCCCAGAGCACCGAGGTCAATTTCCAAAAGGCAACCTGGGCCCTCATCCTGCAACCCGCTCAGCAGAGGCATCTGTTTGTTCTCAGCTCAGTGCAGAGTCATCATTTTAGCCATTAACATATTAATCTCAAACACAAGATGCTTTTCAAATAATAGCTCTGCTTCAGTTCTGATGCAAGAAGCTGAAACTCCACAATACACCTGTTCTCCTTGGGGGAAAAGGCAAGCCTGGTGTGCTGTTGGTACAGGTAACAGAAGAACAAAGAGGCCGCATTTAAGCAGACTCGCTTACCTACAAACATGCCAGTTTACCTTTTAGTACATTTGCAGAGAGAAAAATGTTGAAAAGTTTCTTGCCTCTCGAGCCCTTTTTTAGTCATCTAACGATACTGAGAATAGAGAATTGCCCATTAAAATGGTAATGTAAAAAGACACTGATGCAACTCATTTAATAAAATTCTTAACAATGCACATCTAATTTTAGAACGTTTTTCCACTCTGACTCACATACACCACACTCCAAAACTAATAAGAGGCCTAACCAAGACACTGACTTCTAAACAGGAACGGCTGTGATAAAATGCAATTCATTTCTCTCGGAGAAGACATTTTCAGGAATTACTAAAAACGACCTGTCTGTAGTAGTTTCTTAGAAAGCAAGGATCCTGCCTAACAACAAGAACGGAGTTCAGCAGCATCGCTGACAAAATCTGATACTGATGGTCATGCTGTTACAAGCTTAAGCTGAAAAGCAAAAAAATGAATGCAAGTGTATTTGCCAAGTTTGACTGCGCTAAATGCAAAAAATAAGTAAATCTACAGACCATGCAACTGATTTCTCCTATACAGCACTTATGAACAAGTACATCCGTTCCAGAAACCTTTAAGTCTACTAATTTACTGAATATACTTTGTAGGAATTGAAGATTTAAGCTCCCTGAGAACTTCTGATGTGGAGCTCAACTCCCTTTTACAGTGCTTTCCCTCCTTCTCTGGGAGGCGTGGCACTTATTTAAAACAAATCTTCCAAAGCCCAGGCACGGGCAGTAATCCAAACTCTAGTTACAAGAACGTGTCTTGGATGAGCAATGAATTTAGTTTGTAGCTGTTGTTTTCCAATGCAAGACACTGAGCACTTGCAATCAAAAGAAAGGAAAAAAGAAAAGAAAAAAAAAAAAAGATAGTGTCTGGAAAACAACCTGTCAACAGAAATGGGAGACAAAAGCCTTTCAAGGAGGGGGATTTTTTTTTTTCCTTCATTCTTTTTTAACACTTTGTTCTAATTAATTCCAGAAATTTATAAAAAGCAGCTTGCCCCACAAGGGAAACATTTTTCTTCATCTAACTAGTAATTGCAATATGCTTAGCACCCCCTACCTACTTATACAGGAAGGGATTCAGAGGCCACAGCCCACCAGGAACTTTTTGCAGCCTTGAGGACAGACAGTAAGACACAGTAAATTACGTTCCCCGGTTTGAAGACAAATATTGAAACAAATGAGGCGATTTTACTTAATGGAAAACATCCACAGTGCAAGAACACAATAACTTTTTAATGAAGATCTGAATAGAGCTGCATGCAGCTATGTATTTTGCAGGCTGCCTTGGGACCAACCCTCCTTGCAAGACGAAGTTTCTTGCGACTGCTGGCAGTCTATGCAGGCATGCAATCTGAGAGTTAAGCATCCCTCCCCAGTAGAAGACACCTCGTAACCCAGATGTTCCTTACTTTAAAAGCACGGCATAATAAATATTAAAAACTAAACTTTAACCCTTGCCTCCCTAAAGAGCAGAGAGAGAACAGCGCAGGGGCAGAAGGGGAGAGCGAGGAAGAACCAGAGCCAGGTACCTACCCAAAACAAACCCCAGCGCAATTAACGGCACCCCAACCGCCCGAGACCGACACGGTGAGGAACTGCAACCACCATTTCTCCACGGGGTGCGGCGAGGAGCGCTGCGGCGAGACATGGCTCTGGGACACCTTAAATTTCCAGCCGCTGCCTTTAAAGGCAAGCCAGGGCCTTCGCTGCCGCTCTTTGTGCGGCCGGAGGAGGAGGAGGCGGCAGCGGCGGGGTGGAGGAAGGGCAGCCCGGCTCGCTGCGTGCAGAGCGGCCGCGCACGCAGCCAACCCCCGCCTCTCCTCCCTGCGGAGGGGACAAACCCCACGGGTGGCGTGTGTGTGCGTGTCGGGGGGCTGACACGGGGTAACGCGACACCCCCCCCACCCCCCAAAACAGCCGCGCGAGTCTGGGGTTGCACGTGCGCGCAGGTAAGATGTCAGCCGGGGCGGGGTTAACCCCTTGCTGGCGGGGGGCAGGCGCTGCGCGGCGGCGGCACGATCCGACAGACGCGGGGCGCGCGCGCGGAGAGGCGGGGGGGGGGGGGGGGGGGGGCGCGTCGGGTGCACGCGGTGTCCCCCCCCCCCGCTTCCCCTCACAGAGCGGCGGCGGGGAAGGAGGGGGGGGGAAAAAAAAATAAGGGGGGGGGGGGAAAAAAAAAAAAAAATGTCGGCGGGTGAAAAATTTAACCCGTCCGTTGCCGGCGCGGGATTTTTTTAAAGCGGCCGCGGCGCGGTGAGGCGCAGCCTCCCCCCTCTCTTCCCCCGCCCTTCCCCCGGGGCCGGGCTGAGGGAGGGCGGCGGGGCCCGCGGCCAGGCGGGCAGCTCGCGCCCCGGCGGCACCGCGCCGCCGCCCCCCCGCGCCCGGCCCGGCGTAACGGCGGAGGCGAATTCCCCTTTAAATCTCCCCGCCTTGCACCCCCCCCCCCCTCCTCCTCCCTCCCTCCCTCCCTCCCTCCTCAGGTCTCCCTCTTACCGGCTCGCCTCCTCGCCCTCCGCCTCCTCCCGCGAACGGGACTCCCAGCCCAGTCCCACAATGCACCGGGCGCGCCGGGCTCCCTCAGCGCCGCCTGAATAGAAATGCCGCCGCCGCCGGGCACGGGGGGGTTAAACTCCCCCCCCCCCCCCCCACACACACACACACCCCCACCCGCTCCCCACTCCGCGCGCCTCACCTCGCGCGCGCGCGCGCGCCGCGCTCCCCGCCCCCTCGGCGGCCGCGCGCGCGCGCCTAGCGCTCCCCCCCCCCCCCCCCCCCCCCCCCCGCGCCTACTTCCTCCGGCGCGTTCCCGCGCGCGCGACTTGTTGCAACCCTCCCTCCGTGGCCGTGCGCGCGTGGGCTGCAAAGAGCAGGTTGCATTGCACACATGCACACAGACGCACACGCGCGCGCGCGCGGGCTCCGGCGCGCCGCGCGGAAAGGGGGGGGGGGGGGGGGGGGGGCTGCGCGCCGCGAAGCTTCCTCGTCGTGCGCGTGGGATCCGCGGCACGGTGGGGCCACGCACACGCCCCCCCCACACACACACACCGCCACCCACCCACCCACCCTCTCTCCCGGCGTTGCTGGGCGGGTTGCAGGTGTTGCACCGCGCGGCGTGGGGGGGGGGGGGCGCGGCGTGGGGGGGGGGGGGCGCGGCGTGGGGGGCGCCCACGGGTGGGAAGCGCAGCAGCGAGGCGCAGAGCTGTTTTTTAAGCGGGGTTCACAAGCAGCCTTCGTGCGGCAAGGACTCGCTTCCCTCGCGTTTTCTCGCAGCCCACCCGGGGGGGTGCTTTGTGTCGGGGGCGCAGCGGCGGCTCCTGGGGTGGAGGGACCCCGCCGTCCGAATTTTAGCGTTGCCCCTGTAAAGCTCACGCCTCCCCAGTGAAATGCGTTGTCCACGAGGAAGGAAAAATGTTGGCGTCGGGATCATTTCGGGTGGGAAATTCTAGCTGGAGCTGCGGAGGCACTGCCCTCTTTGCAGCCGCGTCCTCCGCCTGTGATGAATTTTGCCCAGAAACGGGACCAAAAGTCAAGTTTGATCCGTGTTGCGCCCACGAGCCGGGCAAGAAGGAAACGGAGGAGGTCGGCAGGACTTGGTGACGATGGGCAAAATTTAGCCAGCATTAAATATGTTTTGGATGCAGAGCCAGGAGCACGGCCCTGGGGAGCCCTCGAGTGTCACCTGAGGGTCTCGCCGGCGTGTGGCCCGTGGAGGGCTGCAGTTACTGTGGCTGGAGTGACTTTTTTTTACCCCAAATCTGCATTGGAGCACGCATCGGAAAAAAATGTAATCTTGTTCTGAAGCACGTGGTGAGGAGTTCAGCACAACCCAAGGAAGCTGTGCTGTGTTTAAGTGCCCATTCATCCAGGACCTCCCTCCTTGTCCCAGACTATTTGCCTAAATCAACCCTTTTCCATCACTGATTTGCAAAGCATCCCATATTTTCTTATGCATTTAATATATAAATCACTGCAATCTGACATATCTTTAACAAGTATGATTTCCAGCAACATCTCAGTTAATTTTCCTACCTGAAAGTGCTTTGCGTGCTTCTAAAGACCCTTTTCCCAACCGAATAAAGCCAAAAGTCAAATGATCCTCCCTTAAAACTTGTCTTGCTTTATGCGCGAGACAAGTTTTCCACAGAAAGGAGGGGATTTTGGTGTTACAGATAGCATAGGGCCCAGTTTTACATTGCCAAATAGATTAAAAAAAGGCAGTTCGCTCCTTGTAATTTACAATTAAGTACCTAATTAAGTAATTGCCTGTTAGTTCAAAGACTGCCTTTTGTGCAACCATCTTTGAAAAAGTCCTGCCTCAAAACAAGCAGAAAGAGAAGAAATTAAAATGTTGCTTTTCTTGCCTGATTTTAATTACACTTCTTATCTCTGAGCAAACGTAGTGCCCCTGGACTGTGGTGCAGAGGACCAGAGGTGCACAGCACCTCCCAGCACCAAGCACCTTCAGGAAGTCACTAATATTATTTGCATAATTAATTGATTTTCAGGCACCCACGGTCCCAACCTGGAATTTGAACTCCTCTTCAGTGCCTCTCCCTCCCTCTCGGAAGAAGAGGAGGGTGGAAGATCTTGGGATCTTCTGATTTCCATCGATCCAAGCTGACTGATTGAGCATTGGTGTCGTATCATGCCTGTGTGCTCCCTGATAAATGATTTCAATCTGAAAAAAATCTCGTAAGTATCTTGAGAGGTGGTAATTGGATGCTCTGATCTAACATTTTTCCGTCATTTAGTCATCGCCTCTACCACCGGCACCTCATTTAAAAAAAAAAAAAAATCATGAAACATAAAGAAAAACATAAGATAAAAGGAAAAAATGAATGTTGCTGATTTTTAAGCCCTGACTTACAGTTTTTTTCTTTCTGATTTTTTGGAATGGAGAGGGAACTGAATCACATTCTCATCTTTTTTTTTATTTTCCACATCCATGAGGGCTAGACGCTTATTTCTTTAATACAGGGGAAAAAAAAATAAGTTAAAAATTGAGATTTTCAGGTGGTAGCATGACCAAAAGAAAACCGAAATAGATGAAAATTCATGCCAAGGTAGTGAGGTCTGGTGACGCTGCCTCGTGCCCTGTGTTATGCACAGGAGTGGGAGGCAGGTCCCTGCCTGGTGGGTGCCGTGCCGGGGGTTGCCCTTGTCCCTTCCCATGGTTTTTGGGGGCTGGATGGCCACGTCTGAACACGAAGATGTGGGAAAGGGTCTCCAGGAAGGAAAACACATGCAGGGGTATCCATGCAGCCTGTAGTACCGGTATGGATGTGAAACTAGAGCTGAAACTAAACAGGCCCAGGGTATGGAGGTGGGCACTGTGCATAATTGACTGCACTGGCTAATTAAAAGCACGCTTCTTGGCATGGGCGATGGTGGAGCATCCTCAGGTGGATCTGCACGTGTCCCCGTGGACATGTGCACCGGTCCCTCCCACCTTTGCTGGGGTGAGCTTTTGTGTGGGCAAGCAGCGGGCAGGAAAGCGGCTTCGCCAGCGAAACGAGCCAAGAGGGAGCAGCGAGCCCCAGCTCCGCTGCGGCTTCAGGTGGCTGTTGCTGCACCCAACACACATGTACCCCCTACTTCTGATGGTTGAAGCAGCAGCTGGAGGGTGTGTGCGATCAGAAAGGGAATCCTGCTGGAGAAATGTCCTTTTGGTGCAGGATCAGAAGCAAAACTGCACCCCAAAAAAAAGGGTAGTGATGAATCCAGCAACTCTGGGGAGAGCTCGCACTGCTGGGAGCGCCTGCTTCATGTAACGTTCTCCTAGGGCTAAATAATGATTTTCTAGAGTTAAAAGAATGATCAAATGGCTTTTTTTTTTTTTTTTTCCCCCCTAAGGCTTTTTTGCCATCTGCATGCAAAATCTTCAGGAAAAATTCCATGATCTGGAGTGATTTGGTCCGATGCCACAGGAACGGTCTGCTCTGCACACCTTAGGAAGTGCAAAAAGGGAAAAGACAAGAAGATAGAGCCCTCCATGCTGCGGCCCCTGGGTGCTGCCCGATCACTCAGTCACATCAAGGCTGGCTGCCTCCCGTGCCAACATCAGGACGTGACAGATGTCCTTAACCTTTACAGGTGCAGGGCCTGCATTTCTTCAGTCTTTTTTCATTGGATGACTCCAAGCATGGATTATCAGCAGCTCAGATTTCTTTGGCCAAAGTGCTTTGTTGCCTATACATCCAGGTTAAATCTAAGCAATACTTCTGATCCATGTAGGCTTTTGACTTGGTTCTGCATCTTTGGCGTTTACAAAATGATCAGCGTTTGACCTCCCCCTTTTCTATTTCTTAAACATCAGCAGAAAATTCTATTTTAATAAAACAATGCATCCTCCCCCTGCAATGTTTGTATCCAAGAAACTGCAGCATTACAAGAGTGTGAGAAAATATTGCTGATTAAAATCAGGGTAAGAAATGACAGTGAAAGTGATTTTTTGCTCATTGCAGAATTCACAATGAAGTGGCTGGTAAAAGGGGGCCAGCTGGTTCAGCCCCACTTGTGCTGAATACTAGGTTTAATGCGCTGAAACTACTTCCACTGGCACGTAGGGCTGGTCATATGCTTTTGATACGAAAACTTTAACTTTGGTGTGTTATTTAATTTCTTGTGTTATAAAACACATCTCAGCATAGCTTTTCCCCCACCGCTCTGTTTTGACAAAGCAAGGTAAGTTTGTGCTATCACTGGCTTTCTTTGCCTCGTTTTTATCTTCTTCCTGCATCTCATTAGTATACAAGCAGTATTAAATTATAATGATGCCAGTAGTGGCCTCTGCTGTGTGTCGGTGTTTGCTCCTTTTTGCTTCGAGGAGCAGATGTTCCCAGTCTTTGTTTTCTGTCACCAAATGGGGACTTTGCCCATTTAACCTTTGATAAGGTGCTTTAATAGTCTCTGACGTGAGATTTTATCAAAAGCCTTGGCAAAATCCACATAAATGATACCCACCTACCAGCTTTTATTAAATGTTTCTATCGTGTTTTACAGCAGTTTAAGGAAGTGCAGTTTCCTCTGTGTTTTTGCAGGCTCTATTTATCCAGTGCTCCCTTCACCTCGCTGCCTTGTCCCCAGCCCTGGTGGGCTCAGGCTGGGCTGATCCCCCCTGCCCCTGCACCCAGCTGAGCATCCACCGTGGAGGGAGCACCCATGGCCAGGGGTCCTGACCGGGGCTCTGCGGTCCTGGGTGCTGCTCCAGCACTGGCCCCTAACCAACCTGCACTGCATACTGGTCAAGTGGGGTGATGCTGCCTACGAATGGTCAATGGGGTCTGACTAGACTCGCCTGAACCCCACTTTCCAACGATTCCTGATGCGAGATAGGGAGGGTGGTGTGTACATGAATGCTGCTGGGGTCTCGCTGCTTGTTCTCTTGCTGTGTGCCCGGCCAGGGGCAGCTGGCTGCTTTTGCACCAGCAATTAAATGCCACTGAGCTTTAAAGCTGCTCTGACCCTGCCTGTAAAGAGGCACCCTCGCAACGCATGTCTTTTCCTCATCTCTTTTGCAGTGTTTCATACCTTGATTCTGCACTAAGCCACCCTGAAAGGCCCAAGGGGAAATCCACCTCCTAGTTTCTTTTTTGCCTTGGCATCTACATGGCTTGTGGGAAGAGCCATCAGCCCTGGGCTGGGGTGGTGAGGGCTCTCCCTGGGGCTGGCAGATTGAATTGCGACTCGAGTGGAAGCATGCCTGGCTCTGGCAAGCCATGTGGGCAATTGGGAAAGGTGGCACTTTGCAGCTGAGACATGCCTGTGTGCTGTTCCACTGCTTCTTACAAGAGCCACTTGCAGTGTTAGGGGTGGCTTCTGCTGAATCCCCCCCCTTGGCCTTACCCACATGTCTCCAAAATTGCATTAGATTTGGTATTCCCACACCTGCCTTTGCTGTCTTGACCTATGTGACTTCCTTGCTGTGTCACACTTGAGGAGCACTTCATGGACCCTTTTACTTCTGCCAGGCTGGGGCAGCAGATACTACAGGGCTGGTCTTTGTTACTGGCCATTTGGCCACCACATGGCAAATAAAGCAATGGCACAGGGCTGGGCAGTGCAGCAGCCTCTGCCACACTCCCTGCAGCACCACTGCCCAATTTATACGAGTCACCTCCTTCCCCTTCCAGCCCTGAAAGTTCACCCGTGCAGATGACGCCCACTTCGGTGGTCAAGCCTCGTGCCTTGCACTGCCTGCTAGCACGCTCCTTGTGTCCTTCATGCTTTGTAGGGCTTCATTTCCCCGAGCCACATCCCACCACACCGAGCCTGGGCATCCCCAGAAATTTGCCGTTTCCCCGTGCCAAAAAAGCTTTGGCAGGGACATGCTCTGGGAAGAGCCACTCCTGCAGCATGGATGGCACCTCCGCAACCCCGTTATCACCATCACGGGGCTGCTTAATCCTCATGCACAGCCCTGTGCTTTTCTACACCTAGATCCTTTCCAAGGCTTGAGCCTATAAATAATCCAGGAGCCTCGCCTCCTGCCCAGCTTCTCACGCCGCTGCCCCGCTTTGTTTCAGCAAGGGCTGTGTGATCCTGCCAGCCAGACCTGCAGCCACCCGATACAGGCTCCCTTGGGACGAGCCTCAAACACTGACTTCCTGAATTACCGTCTGGAGCGATGGGTGCAGCTGAGCTGAGCCAGCGATCCTATTCCAGCTGCTGGCACTCGCCGAAACATCTGCCTCGCCTCTGTCGTCGTGTTTGTTGATGGAGCTGTGAGCAGCCCCTGGCACGTCGTTTGGGAATATAAATTGAGTTCCTCTGAGCTGGAACCACCTGCTTCAGATAATTTCTTTGGCAGGGAGTCTTCTTACTTTTCATCCAGGATTTTTCTGCCTCCCACCTCTGCCAGCCCTACCCAGTAGCTGTGAGGGGTTGGTACTGATGGGTGGAAGTTTAGGTAGACCCATGGGGGAAATGCTGTCCTGCTGCTGGAGCACAGCAGAAGGCAAATGTGCTGTTTAAACCATAGAATCATAGAATCAGACTGGTTTGGGTTGGATGGGACCTTTAAAGTTCATCTAATCCAACCCCCTGACATGGTCAGGGACATCCTTCACTAGATCAGGTTGCTCAAAGTCCCGTTCAGCCTTGAACACTTCCTTGAACACTTTCAATGATGGGGCATCCAGAGCTTCTTCAAGCAACCCATTCCTGTGTCCTACCACTCTCATCATAAAAAATTTCTTACTTACATCCAATCTAAATCTAACCTCTTTCAGCCTAAAAGACCTCTCAGACCTTCCAGCAGGACTTATATAGAGGTGCTGGGGCTTCTTCTGGGCAAGTTTGCCCAAGTCTCATCAAGATGGAGGTGGGACTCTGCCACCAGTGGTCTGAATGGCCTCATCTTGGACACTGTCCTGTTTTGGGTGTTTTGTTTTTTGGGGTGCCAGGCACTTGTTGAAGCTCAGCTGAGGCTAGCGGGATGCGTAAGCAAAGCAGCAAGCAGCTCTAGGGGCGAACAAGCAGGTGTTGCAAGGAGCAAAATGACCTCAGCAACCCGGCCTGCTTTGTCTGCTGGAAACCAGGGGGGTGGTGGTGGTGGGTGCTGCTGCCCCCAACTTCCCTGTCCCCTCAGTAGGGTGACACACAGCCCTCCAAGTCCGTCCTTGCCTCTGCTCCTTCTTCTGCCCCAACAGTATCCGTTAGATGGGTATCTAACGAGGATTCATTAAACACGCTTGAATTGTTAGCTGCCAAAACAGAGCTGAATCCCACCCTGGGACAGTGCCAACGAGGCACCCAAACCTTGGGCAAAAGGGGAAAAACTGTTTATGTGCCCAATTCCCCCGCTGGAAATAGGTGTAACGCCAGCAAAGCGCTCTCAGGGCTGCAGGCGAGCTGCCCCAGAAGAGGCCACGTGTGCTCAGTGCAACTGCTTGTCTCCGCAGGGATCACCACCGTGCGATGGTGTATTTTTCCCTTTGGAAAAGCAAATAAGCCAAACCCCTAAGCAGGGGTTCGGTGGTTTGCTCTCCTTGAGGGGCTGAACGTGAGCGTGTTGCCATAACAGTCTCATGGAAGAGGAGGAACCTAAACATCTGTCTTGCATCCAGTCCAGCTAGCTGGGGGGAAGCAAGGTTTGCTGAGCCTGCAGGTAGCGGTTCCCCCAAGAAACTCCTGGAAAGCCCCTGATTTACATTCAGAGGGAGAGACACAAAGGCTGTTTCACAGGGATGACTGGTGGAGCTGCCAGGAGGTGAGACCCCTCCAGTGGGGCTGGACCTCCCACTGTGCTGGGACACAGGGGTGGATGGAGGAGGGCATCGGGGCTCCCCACAGCCTCTGCACCCCAAAATGCAGCCCTGTGCTCAGAAAGGCATGCCCAGCAGCAGTGGGAAATGCTGTAACGTAGTGGTCTGCATCCTCCTAAAGGGCTTTTTTCCAGCATTTGAAAGAAAAAACCCACCAAAACACACAGGGAGAGCGATGATCACGCTGTTAAATCTTCCCATTTCTCCATTTCTTTCCAATTCCTGGCATCCCACTGCCCCCCGCCCTGCTGCAGCCAATTCCAAGTGTATTTTCTCAGGATTTGTGCCCAGGATTGGCATTAAGTAAACTCTCCACGGCAGCATTCGCCTTTGCAGAACCTCACACTCAGGCAGCAGGATAAGACCATGGAAAGGGGAAAATGCTTGGGGCATCTTGGGGAGTCCCTGGGAAGAGATATCTCTCCAGGTGAAGTATTTTACTGTACAGATGGGAAAGCAAAGCTGGCAGACGGACAGCACTTGGGGGAAAGCAGCAAATCGAAAACCAGCAAACAGCCCCAGCGCCGGCTGCTTTGATTTCCAGAAATGCAATTAACACCCACCCTGATGCAACTCCGTGCTGGAGAGTGAACCAGCGGGAAAGTCGCTCTTCCCAAATGCAAAGCGTTGCCCCAAGCTCCATCCGCTGCTTGCTTGAGTGATGCCTGTGGAGTCCAAGGAGTCTCTCCAGAGCCAAGTCTGAACGTTGTTTTTAACTCAGTTATTTGATTTAATCCAAGCTGTAGAGCCAAACCTTGCTATGACTAATACTCTTAGCGCTACCCATATGTCTACGGTGTAACTGATGGGTCAGGGAATAGATGTGGGCTTCAAAAAAAAGGGGTTTAGCCATTGGGTTTAATCTGGGTGGCTCTGCAAAAGCTGCTGTGAAACTTGGAGGGCGAGGAGTGGATGAGGAATGGGCAAACTGCACCAGAGAAACACAGGGGGCAGCTGGCAGGCCTGCTTGTGCCACTTAAGCTGCCACCAAACATCAGCCCCACATGCATCTCCTGACACTCAGCAGATAGTGCCAGGGACAGAGCAGTGAAACCCACCCTGTCTTGTTGTTTGGACAAAGACTATAGGCGCTGGAAGGGCTCTTGCTCATAGAATCATAGAATGGTTTGGGTTGGAAGGGACCTTTAAAGGTCATCTAGTCCAACCTCATGCAGTGA